ATTGGAGGATATATTTATTGGGGTGGGCTGTCCCATTAGTGTAAAGTAGCGTGTTTCGATTGGGTTAGTGTAAAGTCGGTCGAACAAGACATGGAAAAACGTTGTTTTGTTCTTGATGAACCTAGTCCGTTGTTTTGGGTGGTTATGTTTTCAACGCAAAAATGGTCTGGACTCAGTTGAAGGCACTTTTTGACTACTTCGGATATTTTCATCGTTCGACTTTTGTTTAAAAATATAACTGTTAAATCATCCAGAGTATCTAATATTCTGAAGTATTCAAGACCTTTTGTTTGAATCAAATGTCACTAATTCTAGCACTAAGTATGGAATATATAACTCATTATTTGTTATTTCGATATTTTTGTCAAATAATAAATTTTGTTAAATATAAATGTTATATTAATCGTTAACGAAGTTTGAATCCAAGTAATTATGCAAAGACTCAACTTTTTTCTCTCACTGTAGTAAAGGGCGTTATTTTGATATTAATTGACCTCTAAACCCCCCCCCCCAAAAAAAAAGAGTATGGTCCCTCCAAAAGTTTAAAAATTCAGTGAAAGGAAATATAAATTTTTCATTGTGACCGGAACACAGAAGTTATATCATGTGTTTTTATATACATATATCACTATTTGTATAGTAACATGTGATATAATACTCCGTGTATCGATCACATTGAAATATCTCTCGAAAGGAAGAAATAAAAGACTTTTTTCTGCCCTGCACATGACTAGCTTGGAATGATAACCATGAAGTCATGGATTTGTCATTCTATATTTTGTGAGATAGCACTTTTCTTTGTTACATCAGAAGTTGGCACCTTAAGATGTGACCCATTCTCTCATCGGTGAACGTCTTCAAAACATTAGTATATAGTAGAACCGTAGCAGTTGGAAATCAACTTATTGAGTTGTTAATCGTACCAATTAAGATTTAATGGGTACATATTAATAATCTAATGAATTAATTTGCCACATAATCGTAGTGATGTCCCATGTTCTGGAAGTTGCTCTCCTCACATTAACTGAAAGCCTTCGGTTTTACAAGTGGAATAGAATAGTAATGAATGGAGGATTGCTTCATCGAAATGATGAAACCCTAGAAATTGTGAGAAAAACTTAGGTCGAGCATTTCTCTCACGTGGCAAGTTGAGTGACATGTTACATGTATTGTTTACATGTAGGAAGTTTTCAGTCATAATTAAGATTTTGTAGCACATTGTGTCTTACCTACCACGTGACAGGGAAGTTGTACCAAATTTTCCAAGAAAATCTACTCCCTTGGTTTGATAAGATAATATGAAGGGTGGCAGCACTACCACTTGTCTAGCAAGAAAGTAGAAAGATAAGGATGAAATGGGATTTAAAAGCTATGTTAACTAGCCACTTAGTACTACGATTTAGTGGTATTCCTCTTTACTGGTAAGTGAGGTTTTAGGTTCGATTTTCTCCAAAGATAAATTTTAACCACATTATTGCTAATCCATTGTGAGGCTTAGCCCAAAAAAAAGCTATATTCACCCATTAGTATTGTACTGTTTATATTTATTTACGGGAATGTTTTCCTCGTCGCTTGGTGACCAAACAATAGATGGTCACTCACCCTTGAGTTTGAATCAAGAGTGGAGAATAAATTGATATACTTCTGTTGTTTAAATCTCAACCCTTGATATCAAATCTAAAGGTCAGTGACCATAAATTCTTGGTCACCAAGTGACCAGAAGGAGGGGCTCTATTTAACTTGTAATGAAGAATTCGATACCATGTACCATGATTGCCACATTGATAAACTGAGACAAGTTTTTGGTATTTTTTTTACTCAGAGAACAAGAAGATGGGGCCAAAGTGGTGAGAGTGGAAAATGTGAACAATCCATACAGAAATCAGGCCAATTTTGACAAAAGATTCAAGTTAACACTCAACAAACTGTATGCATGGAGCTTAGTGGACTATGACAGAGTGGTCATGCTTGATGCTGACAACCTCTTTCTCCAAAAAACCGATGAGCTTTTCCAGTGTGGACAATTCTGTGCAGCTTTCATTAACCCTTGCATCTTCCATACAGGCCTCTTTGTGTTGCAGGTAAATCTTTCCTTCAAGCATTTGTACTTTTATAAAAGATGAGTGCGTTATGATCTTTTTGAAGTGCCAGTGACATTTCCCAGTAATAAATTGTATTTTATAAAGTTTTGCATTGACTCTAACCTCGAGGTTTTAGGATATGTTATACTGTCAAATTAGAATACTGCTTTAGCTCCTTAGCATTTCTGTTGCATCAACCATCAGAATCAAGCACTTTAGTTGAATTGCTGTTGTAGTTAACTGAAAAAAACCACACCGGGCTTTCTTTGGTTATGATATTGCAGCCATCAATGAAAGTATTCAAGGACCTGCTTCATGAGGTTGAAATTGGAAGAGACAATCCAGACGGTGCTGACCAGGGTTTTATAAGTGGTTACTTTTCCGACTTACTTGATCAGCCCTTGTTCCATCCACCTTCTAACGGCTCCAAGCTTAACGGACACTACAGACTGCCTTTGGGCTACCAAATGGATGCTTCTTATTATTGTAAGCATAGCATTTAACATTTTTAACGTGAAGTCATCAGGAAAACAATGACTATTGTCTTAGCCATGCCCTACTTTTGGTTGCTCAGATCTTAAATTGCATTGGAGCGTACCCTGCGGCCCCAACAGCGTGATTACCTTCCCCGGTGCTGCATGGTTGAAGCCATGGTATTGGTGGTCATGGCCTGTTCTCCCGTTGGGCATTTCATGGCATGCACGACGTCATCAAACTCTCGGGTAAGACCATTCAACAAAGTAATGATAGAGCAACTACATTTGTCATTGCATTTACTGATCAGCATCATCTGGCAGTCGATGTGTTAACTAAAATGCGGCCATAATAACTAATCGTTAGCTTCTAATTGTCACTGATTTGCTCTATTATACAGGTACGGTGCTGAGATGCCAGTGATCCTAATCCAGGCGCTAATTTACCTCGGAATAATAGCAATGACGCGCCTAACACGACCAAATATATCGAAGCTGTGCTATAGGCGCTCGGACAAGAGCATTAACTTGATACACACCATCCTCAAAATGATAGCTGCGTGGTCGATTGTGGCTGCATACGTGGTACCATTCGTACTCATTCCTCACACAGTCCATCCGATATTAGGCTGGAGTTTGTATTTGCTTGGCTCTTTTGCACTTTCCTTCGTAGCAATCACTGCTCTGTTCCTGCCAATGGTACCTGTTCTAGCTCCGTGGCTTGGGATTTTTGGTGTCCTCTTTGTCATGGCATTTCCTTGGTACCAAAATGGTGTTGTACGAGCTCTCTCTGTATTTGCGTATGCATTTTGTGTGGCGCCATTCGCATGGGTTTCGCTGGTTAAGGTCATGGCATCCATTCAAGCCGCAGTTGAAAGGGAAGCTTATTTTCCGAAAATCGGGTGAGTCCCCCTCCACCGTTGAGCCCTGAGCTTCGAAAAGACGCACAAGCTCCCCCGGATGAATAGGACGGCACAGAGAGGCGATGTACTTGGACAAAATTCCAGCAGAGAAGAAGCTGTTCTTTTTCCTTTTTATTTTGGGGAAAAAGGGGAAAAGGGCCGGATGGAAACTCTGTTTTGCATGAGCTTCCGTTGATTTTGTACTATAAACACCTTTTTATTTTGGTGAAAAATGGGAAAAGGGCCGGACGGAAGCTCTGTTTTGCTTGAGCTTCCATTGATTTTGTACTATAAACCTTGCTTTATAATAGTTCGAATTAAACTCGAGGCCAGTTCACATGGAAAAATCTCTGTAATTATTATAAGATCGCTTGATTAGATTTCGTCGTTCATTTGGCTCAAACACTTGAGTGTATCAATGACATTGAACAATTTTTGGGACCATACGTTGTAGTTTTGGACCTGGATTAGCTTCTAACGCTCCCAATTGAATAATTAACGAACCCAATTTAGCTTCTCACACTCCAAATTAAGCAATTAACGACCGGTTCAACTGGCGAAGGGAGTCGAAAAACTGAGGAAATACAATAATACAAGAGACATGAACACATGACAATGCCAAAACATTTTCAATTCATACTGAATCTTTCAAGAGGGGAATGCTGGATCGAGGTTGATTTACAAGAACACTATACCACGGGAAGTCGGTCTAAAAGGCAGTTAGTTTCCAACCTCGGTACTACAATTTTCGGTACAGAATCTATTCCCACAAAAATCATTAAAAGGTCAATTACATGTCATTTTGGATTCCTAAGGACAATAATGACACAGAATCTCCGCGGAGGAACATCTTACTCATGAATCTATCTTTGTTGACAGATTGGGCCTTCTTCTTGCCTTTTCCAGTCTTCGGTACCTGCATAGACAAATAAAAGTTCACAAAAATACCATTGGCGATGATAGGCTATGATAGGCGATGAAATCAAAGACCTTAGTTGTTGCCTAATGAGAAACAAGATATGAAACAAACAAAATAAAGCACCAATGACAAAAGTACCTCGGTCCACATCTCTCTAACGTTTTCAAGCACCATGTTGCAATGTCTATCAAATGCTCTCACACGGCCAAGGAGCTTCCTGTTATTACGACAGTTGATGAGGACCTGCTTGCACAATCAGAACTAATTTGAATTAGAATTTTTTTTTTCTTGAAATGTAAAGCTCTAATGATCACAGAACTGTAAAATTACGTGAAAGGATTACCTGAGTATTATTCTTTACGCTCATCAGAAGAACAGAAAGTGGTCCGTTGTTAAATTCCTCTTCCTCATTCTTGATACCCTACTGACAAACATCAATTTATGTACTCACAGTATTGATAAGAGTTTAGGCGGTCTTTTATTTTGTGGAACAGTAAACAGAAAAATTATTTGGCAGCCTACAACATACGTGAGAAAGACAATTGTAAAAGATTAGAGATGGCATCTCATTAAGAATTGCAGGTTTTCTGATATATTAAACAAACAAAAAACCTAACTGGAGTAAAAATGTACCAGGAGACAGGTAACACGGTGCAAGCAAAAAGTACGCACAGTGCTGTTTAATACTGGCTATTTTTTCTATGCTTCGGAAACTTGAACATCCCAACCAAAGTATACAGGGAGTTCACCATAAGAAGCAACCTTCTGAAGAAGTACTATGGGCTACCCTAAATACATAATCATACATAATTTGGGGGCTTCAAATCTTCAAATCACAAATAGAACACACCACTAAGTTTGTTTTTATATCAGGTATTGCCAACTGCCACTAGACCAAAGTTATAGCTTCCACTTTGAAATTCAGTACACAAAAAATTTTACTTCAGATAAAAGTAACACATAAAAGGTCGTACCCAGTGCACAAGGCTCCCGCTTTACGTAGGGTCTGGGAGAGGTAAATGTCGGCTAGCCTTATCCCCATTTATGAAGAGGTTGCTCCCAAGTCTCGAACCCGAGACCTACCACTTATGGGCGAAGGCAAGCTACAAAAAGTGGCATAAGAAACAGGAATCGAATTAGCCGAAGAGTAGAACAACTTACATCTACCTCCATTTGATCGGCTGGAAAGGCAGGGCACTAAACACAAAACAGAAAGAGAAGGATTATAAGCATTCAACGTATCAAGCTAATCACATACTCATAAGGAAGTAAAATAAAAACACATCTTTGTACGAAAGAACATAGAAATAAAACTTAAAAAATAATTTATAGTTTGAACCACAGAACCAGAAATGACATGAAATAGACATATAACTGAATAGGTATTCGAAAACATAAAAAATAGCCTCTTCAGTTCAGGTCTCCAAATTTTTCCGCATGGAATATCTCGGAAGAACGAAAGTTAATTTTGAATCATCATGAGAGGCAACATAACTCCATCAACATATAGAACACACACACACACATACTTCTATCCCAATACATGAAACTAGTTAAAAAGATTCACATCCCATGACCATTAATTCTTTTTTGATGGTGTCGAGCAAAAAAAGTAAAAATTTGTATATGGTGGCGCAAGCAAATTATGGGCAAAATTTTAACTCCAAGGGATTGTGTGAAAACACAAAACCTCAGGGCATGTCAGTACTAAACTACTAATTAACCCACCAAAAAGAAAACAAAATATTGTCGAAGATACGTAAGTGTAAACACATATAACAAAACCTCTTCAGTTCAGGTCTCCAAAATTTTCTGCATGGAATATCTCGGAAGAACGAAAGCTAAATTTGAATCATCATAAGAGTCAACATAACTCCTACACACAAACTAGTTAGGAACATTCACATCCCCTGCCTATTTCTTATTTGACAATGACTCAGCTAAAAAGCCAAAACTTACATGACGCAATTTACGGAAAGAATTGTAATCGAAGGAGACGTGTGAAAACACAAAATACATCCGGGGATGTCAGTCCTAATTAACCAACCAAAAAGAAGATAAAGCATTGTCAAGGTAAACATACATAAAAATGCCTCTTCAGTTCAGGTCTCCAAATTTTTCCGCATGGAGCATCTCGGAAGATAAAAGGTCTAGTTTAATCATCATCAGAGGCAAAATAAATTCACTCAATGCACAACACAGAGAACACCATATAAAAGAAGATACGAAAGGCACTTTTGCTCAGTCAAACAAAAAACCCCAAAAGGAATTCATAAAGATATACGCACTTGCATTCAACCAGCACTAATTTCATCAAGAAAACTATAATTACACTAAGATATACATTATTTGGGGCATTAAAATACAGCGAAAAACATAAATTGCAGGGATTTGAGGATACAGTAATGCCAATTAGAACGAAAACGAGTGAAACTTGTAACGATTTGAGATCCTTAGTACCTACCGAGAGAGGTGAAGAGGTCCAACACTGAGAGTCGTTGGATCAGCGGAGTCTAGGGTTTATGGGAGGGTGGCTGGAGCGGGAGTGAGGTGAACAGAGAGTCGATATAGGGATATATATATATATATATATATATATATATATATATATATATATATATATATGGGGGCAATCCGTTGTTTAATATGGGGAGTAAATTTTAGTTATACTCACTTAATTTTAACTCAATTGAAGCAATGGTCTTTCAACTAAAAATTCATTATCATTGGTCTCTTAACTCATCAAAATATGCAGCTATGATCCCTCAATAAAAATTCATTACCATTAGTCCCTTAACTTTCATTCAACTAGAGAAATTGTCCCTTACCTTTAACCCAATTGTAGCAATGGTCATTCCAACATAACTAGTTTTGACAAAAATTTTGACGTAGTTGACGAAAATGACTATAATTACACACTTTCATGAGTTAAGGGACCCTAATTATATAAATAGTTATTTCAACATAACTTATTTTGACAAAATTTTGACGAAATTGATGAAAAAGATTATAACTACACATTTTGATAAGTTGAGGAACCAATGATAAATGATTTTTAGTTGATGGACCATTGCTCCAATTTCATTAAAGCTGAGGGACTATTACTACAATTTACTCTTAATATGGGCCTTGGAGTACATGAACAGTGTTGGCTCTGTTGTTGTTGGACTAAACCCTGTGTTTGGATGCATAATGGAACTGTTACACTCTAAAAATTTCATTTTGAACACGTCATAAGTGTATTTTTCTTATTAAATATATTTGAAGTGCATAATGAGAATTTTGAAGTGCTAATAATAATTCCCAAAGAAAATTGATAAACACACATCATGTTTTTTTTAGTACATCGATATTTGTACACTAAGGGGAGGGGGAGTTCGGCAAAGCAACACAATGGGCAGCCTAATTTGGTATCGAATTTTCCATCCACGATATTCGAACCTAAGACCTTTCACTTCCAAGTGAAGAGAAATACTATCAGACCGTAGTATTGAGTGGCCACATCATATTTTTTAACAAACAATATTATCTACACTAAGGGGTTGGGGGAGTGAACTAAGTCTCACAATGAGCTAACAATAATGTGGGTCAAATGCACTTTTGGCAAGAATCGAACATAAGGCCTCTTACATACCAATAAAGGAATACTATTAGACCGTAATACTAAGTGACAACACATATCATTTTTAACGTTTTATATACACTCGTTCAATTTTAGTCATTATTTTTTATTTAAATTAATCAATTTGATGGCCAAATATAAAGAATGGTGTATGAAAATTTTTAAAGAGTGGGTGGAATCATCTCTTCTTTAAAATAGGTTGAATGATTATTATGTTTTTTTGTTAAGTTTGTGATAAAATTGAAAACTTTAAAGAATTGTGATATCCTAAACCATTGAATTAATAGCATGAACTAAATCTCATCGGACCCTACGTCACAATACACCTATATCATAAATTACTTATATCAATTTTTTAGATAATTTACCTATATTACAGATACATTGTTTTGGTTTTTATTTTTATTTTTATTAACACAGATTGACAAACCCCGATCCAAATCAGGACATGCTGGCCGTCACGTGATGGTGACGTAGCCATGTGCACAATGCAAAAGCAATAATGATAATAGAGAATGCGAATAAATGAAAACCAACTCATAAGAGTACTAGTTAAGACAAGTGCTGGAATATGTGTGAATACACAATTAGAGCGTAAGTAGCTTAAGTTTAGTCTAGAAAACAAGTACTAGTTAAATGACACCCAAAGATGCCCTACATTTGTGACAGTCTATCAGAACCTCCACTAATCCTCGTGAGCCACCAACGAACAAACTTATCTAAAACCTGAAGGAACGCGCAAAACAGAAAGTATGAGTGGGCAAAAACAAAACTTTTCAAAACCATTTCGTTTATCAAATGCTCTAAGTCCTCGCCGTAAAACATGTATAACTTTCCCAGATATGGAATATATATATATATTCAAATCATGTTACACATATCCATATTCATAAGTCTGTCATGCCAAAATATAACACAGAATAAGTAACTAAGATGAAAATAAATTCATGGAAAAATAACATATTAGCCGGAACCCCTGCAGAAGTTTGTACGGTTGAATTCATAGCTCATTAGTCAATCTAGGCTGAGTCATTGCAAGTGACCTATATGGCACTACACTGCACATGAGTCGGAACCACTGTAATGGTCTGTAAGACAAAACTTGGTGTAATATAATTATTCTCATTACTACATTCTCATTATAGATGTGTGATAAATCGCTAGTCACCTATGAGTCGAAACCATCTATAATGGTCTGTACGACAAGACTGTGCACCTAAATTGGATCCAATGTGAACATATGGTGCGGGAGGTGACATTATATACAGGCATGTGCCATATCTCTGGCAAATTACTAACACCAGGGTGTAAGTTTACGAGCTCAATGTTTCTCAATTAATCACAACCGTTATTCACATTCACAATTCATAAACTCACCTGGGGCTTACTTGAGCGTCCACAACACTACAATAATATATATATATATATATATATATATATATATATATATATATATATATGCGCAAACATCATATGCATATTCTAAATGTAAAACATTTGGCATGGCAATTTAAATCATAACTCATTTAAATACATTTTCTGGGAAAGATACCAAGCATATACATATACACTTAAAACCAAAAGCCCACTCACTGGTATGTCGAAGGGTCGTAACCCCTGAGCCGTCCTTGACTGCGCTCGTCCTCGGGATAGGTCTCACCTATATGCGAAATAACTGAATAAATGTTATTTAAAGCACATAGACAAAACTAGTTAATAACTTATCATACATTGCTCAAATGAGATGTTTGAATATACCAACGTAATCTACACAACCTCACGAACATCCCCATATTTTAAAAAAAAATTCCGACCACCCATCCGCCGGCAAGGGCAAGGCTAGACGCACCCCCACTCGCGGGTAACCCTGACGGAATCCTAACTGTTGTTGGGAATATTCTGTTAAAAAGCAACAGAAACTATCAAATCTACTTGACGGTGTCAGAATATTCCGTCAACTTTGATGGAATATTCTATCTTCTTCTCCGGTTAGCCTAGCTGGTCGCCATCCGCCGGAAACTGGAAAAATAGAAAAACCTTCATATCTCGTCCAATTCTTAACCAAAATCAGTAAAACTTGCACCAATTCAAAGCTTAGGACGAGTAGAACACAACTATACCTGTTTTGGGACCTAAAATCCACGGAAATTTGTCGAAGAACCTTTGATAATCCGGCCAATCTTCAAATGCATCGATCTCGACTTCCCGATGTCCAAATCATGTCATTCTTCTTCTTCGAGCTTCGTGTAGAGGTCCCTAAGCTCCCTATAAGCTTGAAATCCTCTAAAAATCATGCATTTACGACTGCATGAACAATGCTCAAATAAGAGGTTATGGTTTCTCGGGTTTTTTTAAGCTTTAACGTCCAAAAATGGTATAGATGGGTTCGTGACGATGAGATGAAGATGATGATGGTGTCTACAAGCTCGATCCGTGAAGAAATGGGTTGGTTTGGAGATCGTCCGTACGATGGTACGGATAATGAAGAAAATTTGAAAGGGATGAGAGAGAGAGTACACAGGAGAGAGAGTGAGAGAGAGAGAGAGTCCTAGTTTGGGCTACCAATCACAATAAACCAAAGCTTACTTCCCATTGGGTCCCCAAACTTAGGAGAAATTTTTATTAGATAATATCCTTAGCCCAATACATACACACCACCACCAAATGTTAAGGGCAATTTCATCTTTTCACATCTCTGAGAAAAATATTTCGAGACGGGCTATCACACAAATACATTGCTTTTAAACTACCCAAATTATCTAATATTTTGCCTGTAATCTATGTCTTTCAGCATTTTTTGTATTCATTTCTATCTTAAATATATTTCTTTTGGAAATTTTATAGTCTTGTTATGGTATAAGCATTTTATAGTCTTTCACCTGGATCTTAACTCCCTCAAAAGTAATTTAAATTGGGTGTCTTTATTAGTACTCAAACTTTTAAATGAATTTATCTAACAAACATTTTTGATAAATTAAATTTCAAATTTACCCTAATTAAAAAGAATAAAAAATAAAAAAAAATGAGGAGGGGGAGAGGGGCTAGGCCCACAGGCCAACCCAAAAGATTCGGTAGCCAGAACGCTATTTCAAATGACAAAGAGACGACCGACATCAACGACTGCTCAAATCCCTAAATAGTCTACTAACAAAAAAGAACGATCACTGAACTTAAAGTACTTTTGGACCAGTCAAGCCAGTTGACAGACGTGACAAATTTATGGCATTGAGCTCAAAAGATAGGTATGGATGCAAATTTCCGCCGTCTTCACCTTTGACGAAAATGCACCTGCAAAATAATAACATCCAAGATTAAAGCCAAAACCGTTACGCACCCACGATGAATGAAGAGGTGCTTTGGCCGAAGAATCTCCAATGCCAAAGTTAGAATTATGAAAAGAATGTGTTTAGCAGTTTGTGAGTGGCAAATGACTTAGCTTTTTAGTGGGATAATAGGGCTATTTATAGGGGAGTGACCGACCCTATTTGGAGAATAGTGGCCGGCCATATATGGTGTAATTGGGTGAATAATTGCAAGATATTATGTGAAAC